TAGGCGTTGTGTAGGAGAGCGGCCAGATTTCGGCTAAATTATTCTTGGCAGGACAAAACTTTTGTGAGGCACCTCCGTAGAGTTTGTGAAGCGGCGGCGAAGGGCGTGGGCGTGTTTGGGCACAGATGCAATGGCACGGGAGTTGGGTACGCGGGCGTTGGAGTCGGGGCGTGCGGGAGATTGTAAAGTCCGAGCAAGAATAGAGTCGTTGGCCGGGACTCGTGTCCATGGCATGTGTTCGCTTGGGAGCGGCAGCGGGCGCACGTGCACGGTTTGCTTGAGCGCGACGGTCGCCTCCTCACTCGCACCAAGGCCGCGCGCTGCTCGACGAGTGTTTTGTGTCTTACTGTGCTTTCACCGCTCTTGCGCCGCCCGGAGTTCCATGCACTCTTCGCTGGGCGCCCAGTCGATTGTGGGTGAATTTGCACCACCACCACTACCAGCACCAGGGCACGCCCGCCAGAGTGGTGGTGGTGGGCAGCGGGCGAAAAGGCCTGCTGCTTGTAGTAAAGTGAAGGCGAAGCTGCGGGGTAGCTGCACACGTACGTACGTACTGAGTCCCGGCCCTCAACCAGTCGCACCATTGACCGCAGTAAGGCAGGACGGTGGGGCGGCCTACACACATGTAACACGGCCATTGCACGACGCTTCACCACAACGACGACGACGACGACGACGACGACGACAACGTTCGGAGTTCCAGGCGTATGGATGGGCCGGCACAGGCACAGACATACATGTACTTCGGCGACGGGGGGCCCAGGCCTACGTATGCGCATTTGCCATGGCGATGGCTATCCCGAATCTTGCCAGGCCGCTGTGGCGCTTTTGCATTCGGTAAGCCACACACGGCCTCCACACTTGCGGTTGCCCGATGCGTCCCCACCCACCGGTCAAAAGTCGCGTGTCGAGAAAAAGGAAGGCGAGCAGAGAGAAGAAGAAGAAGAAGAAGAAGAAGAAAAAATAGCAACGCATACCCGAGATCGCCACAAAACAAACCCGCTGCTGCATCGCCAGAGAGAGAGAGCACTCGTCTTCGGCATCCACAGGCAATCATGCAAAGGAAGAAGAATGAGAAAAAAAAGCACTATCGCTGCGCCGAATAGACTGGCCGTTTAAATACGCTCCGCCGCCGTCATGGCTCAAAATCGACATCCCTCCGCGGACACGAGGGGTTACACCGCAACATGAGCATCCCAGCGTTTTCGGCCGATCGGGCGCCTTTATGTGCCGAGGGCTGTCGAATATTCTCTGATGCTTAGCAACCCCAGATTATGCAGCAGCGCGCCTTGTCGCTCATTGGCGACGACTATCTCCGCTTAAGACCATGCGCTAGCTGTTGAGCGAAGGCACCAGCTCTAATTTCATGACGACTGCATACTCTTAATAGACTAGTCACTGCCTCTTCGCTTGCCAACATGCCGTCTCGCGATTCCTCGTGGCGTTTTGTCTCCTCTCCCCAACGAATTCGCTGCATCCTCCCCTTCACCCTGCCTTCCTCCCTACCCCATCAGCAGCAGCAGCAGCAGCAGCAAGATCGCCTCGAGGATTCGCGCATCTCGCACTCTAAATTGCTGACTCGACCCCACATTGCGACCTCCCTCCCGTAGCGATCGCAGATTCCCGACGTTGAGCCGGCTCTCGGCGCCGATATGGCCCAATCTCACTCGTCGGCTTCCCTCGACGACAACGAAAAACAAAACGAGCTGGCACTGGTTGATCCGCAGGCGGCAGCAGAGAGACCTACAGAATATGCGCCCATACGCGCAGAACACAATGAAAAGGCGGCTGCGGACACGGCGGACAGCCAAAGTGCAAGAGGCGATATGTTGAGATTGCAATCTACCACAAGCGCATACTCGGAATCAAGCGCCGCCGAATCCAACGCGGCTAAATCTACACAGCACAAGAAGCCCTTGTACAAGCGCCTAAATGTCCTCAAGAAGAACCCCCCGCCTGTGCCCCACGAGCGCACCGTATGCCCAGAACACACGGCTGGATTCTTCAGCAAACTGACGTGGCAATGGATGCAGCCGCTGATGAAGGTGGGATACAAGCGGCCGTTGGAAAAGAATGACCTCTGGGTAGTCAATCCAGACCGGAGCGCTGATGTTATGGCGGCAAAACTGGAGGAAGCTTTCAAGAGGCGGAGAGAACAAGGCGAGGAGAGCCCGCTGCTGGGTGCCTTGTATGATACGTTCAAGTGGGAGTTTATCATTGGCGGTCTATGCCAACTCTTGGCATCCATCGTACAAGCCGTTGCGCCCTTTGTTCTGCGCTATCTCATCAACTTTGCGGTTCGGGCTTTCAATGCCCAACGCAGAGGTGTGCCTGGGCCGAATCTTGGTGAAGGCATCGGTCTGGTGATAGGAATCACCGCCATGCAGGTTGTGCAGAGTTTGTCCACCAATCACTTCATGTACCGTGGTATGATGATGGGCGGAGAATCCAGAGGCGTCCTGATTGCACTGATTTTCAACAAGGCCATGAAGCTCTCGGGCAGAGCAAAGGCCGGTGGCGAGGCCATTCTGGAAGCTCCTCCGCCGGATATGAAACCAGGAAGCGAGGCCCAGCTGAAATGGTACAAGAGGATTTTGAAGAAGAATGAAAAGAAAAAAGGGCCCAAGTCGCCCGCTGGCGTGGCGGGTGATGGCGAGGGCTGGGGCAACGGGCGAATCGTCAACTTGATGTCCACCGATACCTATCGAATCGACTTGGCTAGTGGCTTCTTCCACATGATTTGGACTGCTCCTGTCGGTATTCTGATTACAACGGCTCTGCTTCTGGTCAACCTGACGTACAGCGCACTACCCGGTCTTGGTCTCATTCTCATTGCCATGCCACTGCTTGGTCAAGCCGTCAAGTCGCTGTTCCGCCGAAGAATCGTCATCAACAAGATCACGGACCAGCGCGTGAGCTTGACGCAGGAGATTCTGCAGGGTGTTCGCTTTGTCAAGTACTTTGGCTGGGAAACGAGTTTCCTGGAGCGCATCCAGGAGATTCGGAAAAGGGAGATTCACGGCATCCAGATCCTGCTTACGATTCGAAACGCCGTGCTTTCCGTCGGCATGTCGATGCCCGTATTCGCTTCCATGGTCTCGTTCATTACTTACTCGCAGGTCCACCCCAATCTCGATCCCGCGCCCATCTTTTCGTCGCTGGCTCTCTTCAACTCGATGCGTATTCCTCTCAACTTTCTGCCCCTGGTTATTGGCCAGGTCATTGATGCGAACGCCTCCGTCGACCGTATTCAGGAGTTCCTTCTTGCAGAAGAAGCAGAGGAGAGCGGAAAGTGGGATTATGATGCCAAGGACGCCGTGGTTCTCAAGGACGCAGACTTTACCTGGGAACGCCACCCGACACAAGACGCTGATGATGTACCAGGCAAGGGAGGACCACCCGGAAAGAAGCCAGAGACAAGAAAGGAGAAGCGAGAGAAAAAGGCAGCAGCTGAGGTGGTACGCGCGAGCGGAGCTACGACACCTTCGGATGCGACAGCTGTGGAAGAAGAGAGGCCTTTTGAGATCAAGGGACTCAATCTCTCGTTTGGACGGAATGAGCTGGTTGCAATCATTGGCGGGGTTGGTTCAGGAAAGAGTTCGCTGCTTGCAGCTCTCGCTGGTGACATGCGCAAGACGAACGGAGAGGTCATCTTTGGTGCCTCGCGCGCCTTTTGTCCGCAGTATGCCTGGATCCAGAACGCTACGGTACGGGAAAACATCATCTTTGGCAAGGAATTCAACCGGAAGTGGTACGACCAAGTCGTGGATGCTTGTGCACTCCGCGCCGATCTCGACATGCTGCCGCACGGCGACGCAACGGAAATCGGAGAGCGTGGTATCACAGTATCTGGTGGCCAGAAGCAGCGGATGAACATTGCGCGGGCGATTTACTTCAACGCGGATATTATCATCATGGACGACCCCCTGAGTGCCGTCGATGCACACGTCGGACGTCACATCATGGACAATGCCATTTGCGGATTGCTCAAGAACAAGTGTCGCATCCTGGCGACACACCAGCTGCATGTCCTTAGCCGTTGCGATCGAATCATCTGGGTGGACCAAGGACAGGTCAAGGCCGTGGATACGTTTGACAACCTCATGGCACAGAATGCCGACTTTGTCCAGGTTATGAGCACTACTGCCAAGGAAGAGGAAAAGGAAGAGGAAGACGAGGCCAACGAAGACGAGGTGGAAGGCGAGGTCAAGGCGACGAAGAAGCAGAAGAGGTCCAAGAAGCAAGCGGCGCTCATGCAGCAGGAAGAACGAGCGACCAAGAGCGTCAGCTGGGAAGTCTGGATTGAGTATATCAAAGCAGGCGGCGGTCTCTGGGTCGGCCCCCTGGTCTTCATTCTCCTTGTGCTCTCGCAGGGCGCCAACATTGTCACGTCGCTGTGGCTGTCTTACTGGACGTCGAACAAGTTTGGATATTCGCAGGGAGCCTACATTGGAGCGTATGCGGCTTTTGGCTTCAGCCAGGCATTCTTCATGTTCATGTTCTCCTTCTCCGTGGCCATTTTTGGAACAAGAGCCGGCAAGGTCATGCTGCATCGCGCCATTACTCGAGTTCTCCGCGCACCCATGTCCTTTTTTGACACGACACCCCTTGGACGCATTACGAACCGCTTTAGCAAGGACATTGACGTCATGGACAATACCATTACAGACTCGATTCGCATGTACTTTATGACGCTTGCCATGATTATCTCGTAAGTTGTCGACTGCCGTGGAAAAGGGGGGTGGAGGAGCTAACCAGCCGTACAGTGTCTTTATCCTCATCATCTCGTACTACTATTACTACGCGATTGCTCTGGGCCCGCTGTTTTTGTTTTTCATGTTCTCGGCCGCGTATTACCGATCTTCTGCTCGCGAGGTCAAGCGGCACGAAGCCGTCTTGCGCAGTACAGTCTTCTCGCGCTTTGGCGAGGCTGTCACTGGCACTCCGACTATCCGGGCCTATGGACTCCAGGAGCAGTTTTCCAAGTCGGTCCGCGCATCTGTCGACGACATGAACAGCGCGTACTACCTTACGTTTTCCAACCAGCGGTGGCTGAGCGTGCGGCTGGACGTTGTGGGCATTCTCCTCGTCTTCACGACGGGTATCTTGGTGGTGACTAGCCGGTTCTCGGTCGACCCCAGTATCGCTGGGCTGGTGCTCTCGTACATTCTTACGATTGTGCAGATGATCCAGTTCAGTGTGCGCCAGCTGGCCGAGGTGGAGAACAACATGAACTCGACGGAGCGGATCCATCACTATGGAAGCCAGCTGGAGGAGGAGGCGCCTCTACACATGGGCGAGGTGCGACCGACGTGGCCTGAGCATGGCGAGATTGTGTTTGATAATGTGGAAATGCGGTACCGCGATGGGCTGCCGCTGGTGCTAAAGGGGCTCAACATGCATGTGTGTGCCGGAGAGCGGATCGGCGTTGTCGGGCGGACGGGAGCGGGAAAATCATCCATCATGTCAACGCTGTTCCGACTGCAGGAGCTGTCGGGCGGGTCGATTGTGATTGACGGCGTGGACATTGCCAAGGTTGGACTGCACGACCTGCGCTCCAAGCTGGCCATTATCCCGCAGGACCCGACGCTGTTCAAGGGCACCATCCGATCAAACCTCGATCCCTTTAACCAGCACTCGGATCTGGAGCTTTGGTCTGCGCTCCGGCAAGCGGACCTGGTGTCCAACGACCAGGCCATGGACGATCACTCGGGCAGGATCCATCTGGACAGCGTGGTTGAGGAAGAAGGGCTCAACTTTTCGCTGGGTCAGCGACAGCTCATGGCTCTGGCACGGGCGCTTGTGCGCAACTCGCAGATTATTGTGTGCGATGAGGCGACGAGTTCGGTGGATTTTGAAACGGACGCGAAGATTCAACAAACGGTAAGGGAAAGGGAAAAAAAAAAGCACGTTGGTTGTGCAGGCGGCTAACGGTGTCTGGGCAGATTATCGAGGGATTCAGAGGCAAGACGCTTCTGTGTATTGCCCATCGATTGAAGACGAGTAAGTGTGGTTTGCAGGCAGTGGCTGAAGGCAAGGGCGACGATTGGAAAGCAGCAACTAACGCGTGTGTGCTAGTCATCCACTACGACCGTATCTGCGTCATGGACGCGGGGCAAATTGCGGAGCTGGACTCGCCACTCAAGCTATACGACCAAGGCGGGATTTTCAGGAGCATGTGCGAGCGCTCAGGCATCAAGAGGGAAGAAATCGCGGGAGCATAAAAGCCGGCTTGATTGGCTGGGGCCGGATACACGGCCCAGCGGGTGCGGGCAGGCAGGGAGAATATAAGCGTAATGGCGCGGGCGGGCATTTGCCAAGCGCGCGCACACACACACACACACACACCTCATGTACACACACTTAGGGAAGGATAGATGGCCGTGTGCATAGACATGGCGTTTGAGGAGGGGGGAGGACATTTTTGTTTCGGTTAATATGGTGGATAATGAGGGAGCGGCTTTGGTCGAGCAGTTGAAAGAGATGGAATGACAGAAACATGGATTGTTCCGAGCTGAATGCAAATACTCTTGGTCACGCGGCTAGGCCTAGTGGGTAGTGGGGACGGCATACGAGCTGCGAGCTGCTCGCAGCATGGAGGCGTTTGACAATGGGCGGCGCGGCCAGGTAGCGTGGCGTCTATGATAGCAAACGGTCATGGTTGCGAGCTATAATACTTGGTTGTACTAGGAGCGGAGTGTAGTGGAGTGGGCTGGGGGGTAAGACAAGGCAAGGCAAGACAAGGCAAGGCTGTCAGTGTAGTGGTAGCGTGTTACTGTACGTCTCGGCGGAACGCAAGGCGCACGGGCCAGGCGTGCCTTGGCTTGGCTCCTACTCGGCGTCTGTGTCTGTGTCTGTCGCGGGCTCCACTTTTGTTATCTAATCTCTCACTTCTCTCACTTGTCTTGCTCTTTCTCCATGGCGCTCACACTCGCTCGCGAAGCTCAACCCATGCAAACAAGCCAACAGGTTGCATGCTGATTCCCGCCCGCCCGCATATGCAGCTGCAGCCGCACAAGATGGACTCTTTTTTAGCTTCATCTCTGGCTTTTTTTTTGATCCCATTCCGTTATCGTCGCACGCGCCATTGGGGGCGAGGGACTCACGTCCTTTTTTTTCATTATATCTCTGGTCGCTCTTTTTGGATTGTTTTTTCCCGGCCGGCTGGCGGGTGCGAGAAGGCAAGCAACAACAAACCACGGACTTTTGCTTTCTTGGAGGGAGGAGGGTGGACTTGGGTCCGCTAGGGAATTGTTCGCCTCTTTTTTTTCGGGCGGGCGCGCTTTTGCATTCACCCCCCGCGCGTGGCGAGTGGGCGAGGGAGCGGTCTCGAGCGCTGCTAGCGGGGGAACGAGGACTGTGGCTGCTTGGCTTGGCTGGGTGATGGTGGTGGTGGTGTCTCTTTGTGGATGGGGGCTGCAAGCGCTACAGCAGCATAGCACAGCACAGCACCATGGTCGGGCTAGCGAGAGGCGATGCACGCAAGCACACAGCACGCACGCACACACGCACGCACGCAACCAAGCAACCAAGCACACAAGCAGGCGCGTCAGGCTTTGCAGGAGGAAAAAAAGGCTTTGCTGTTGGGCCGAGAACAGCAAGTTGCGCGGTTGATGATGCATGACAGACTCGCCAGTGGGTGTGCATGGAGCAGACAGGGCATGGATGGCATGGCGCTCCGCCCTCGGGGGCGCTCAACAGGCTCTCTGTCCACGGCTAAGCCCCTAACGGCCCAAGTCACTGGCCCGCCAGGCACAATGAGACGACTGTTGCGGGCGTACGGCGGCGACCAGGCCCATTGCGCTCGTGGCACGGCAAATACACGGCACAAGGGCGACTTTGCGACGTCGCCAGCAGCCAGCAGGTCCGTCGGCCAAGGCTGCGCAATGCCGTGCCGTGACGGCGAGCCGAGGGGCGCGTGTTTCTTTGTTGGCGGGCGACGAGACCAGACGAGACGTGACGAGACGGAGCCAGACCAGACCAGACAGACCAGACAGACGATCCATGGGCGACGATCAGGGACGCAGCCGGCAAACGACAAGTTGCTTCTGCTGGCCGCTCGTCAGCGCCGCCCGCCGACATCATGTCGCAGGCACGGGGCGTCTGAAGGGGCCTAGCGCGCGCCCATGATGGACGCTAAGCCTGGCCTGCCACCAAACGGGGGGGTTGCTGGTGCTGCTGCTGCTGCTGGTGCTTGATGTCTCTCCAGCACCAGCCCTCGCTCGCTATCACGGCCGCTCCTTATATACACGCACCCGCCCCATCCTGCTGCCCCGACGCTCGCTCCTGCCGTCCTGCCGTCCTCTTTGCCGCCGCCGCCGCCGCTGCTGCTGCCCCGCCGGCTGGCTGCTTCCACTCGTGCACAATCACAATCACAATCGCTCACCCCTTCACCCTCGCCCGCTCGCATCCACCGCTGCCCCCCCCCTGACGGCCCTTTCTTGAAACATTGCCCCGGCACTCACCCCACGGCACAGTCATCTCCACCACCCCATGCTGCTCCTGCTGTAAAGCTCCAAACCTCTCTCGCTCTCACTCTCGCTCTCGCTCTCTCCTCGCCGCCGCGCCTTGCCTTTGCTGCACTCCCCTCTGCCTCTGCCAGGCCCGACGCCCCGACGCCCCAGAACGCGCGCCACTGTCTGCGCAAAACACTCTACGTCACCATGGCTACAAACGAGAAGCACGAGCCCGTCACCTTTGGCGCCAGCATTGAGCGCTCTCCCAGCCCCTTGGCCCCCGCCCAGCAGCAACAGCCGCAGCAACAGCCGCAACAACAGCCACCGCTGCGCTCGCCACCCTCGCACGAGTCCAACATGTCTGCTGTCACGGCTGCCGATGCGCCCAAGAAGGAGTGGACCGCCGACCCTTCGAACCCCTACTCGGCCTTTTACAAGCACCCCGAGGCTCTGCGCGAGACGCGCACCTCGGTCCAAGACACGGCTCCCCCAGCCAACAAGACACACCTGGCCGTCCAAGAGCACGAGCTCGAGGGTGGCGTGCCCCTCTCGGTCGCCTCAACGCAACAACAATCCAAGCTGTCGGTCGACGGTCGTGTCAAGGAGTGCACCATGTGGCCAACAAGACAAGCCGTGCTGGACAAGCGGAAGTCGTACAAGCGCAAGCGTGGTTGTGCTTTTTTCCGCAACCTCAACAGCAAGCAGAGACTGTGGGCCAAGCTCGTCATTGGTCTTCTCGTCATTGCCGCGGCCGTGGGTCTGGGCGTTGGTATCTCGCGGGCCGTGGGCGGTGGTGTCTGGGCTGGCAACGGCCAGTCCAGGGAGATTCCTCACAACTGAGCTCGCAGCTTGAATTTCAGTTCCAGTTCCAGCTTTAGCTCCAGCTCAGCGCATCCAGCACCAACTGCCATGGTGCGTCCTTGGCCTTGTTCATGCAGCGACTGGCCCTGCGCTAACCTTGCCCAGAGTCGTTTCACGTCTCTTTGCACTTTACGACTTTACCCATGCTTCGTCTCCGACAAACATCTTTTTTTCCAATATCCCTTTTTTCCCCATCCGTCATATTGTTCTTTCTGGCAATGTGCATATTACTTGGAAACCACGTTTGCTTTTTTTTCTTAAAAGCTTCCAACTTTCAACTTTTCAACTTCTCCATCCTGGCTTTTTTTGATCGAGTTTCTTTTTTTCTGTTGTTCATATCATTCGGGATGGGGAGGAAGATGGGGGAGGGGTTTTTCTTTGGCGCACACTACACTACTACTAGGTGGGGTTGCTGGTGTTGTTGTTTGTTTCTTGACACTTGGTTCGGCATTCTGTACCTGCATTTGAAGCGTCGGAGTACATTAACTATTGGCGACAAGGTGTTTTTTTCGGGGAGGGGGGGGGGGGGGGAAGGGGGT